CTGATGGTTCTTTTAACATGCAAGAATTAGAAAATCAGATATTCATAGAAGTTGCTAGAAAAGAAAGGCATGGACGGGTCTGAAGGCCTTGGATTAGATCAAACACCACTACCTACTATGGACATAGCTCTCAGTAATTTACATTTTTAGCAAGTCAGTCTTTGTGAGATATTTTGATATTGAGAGAGGAGTTGTAAACTATGGAACAATGTTTCTAGCAAATGGAAGCAGAAAGAGAACATGAGTATGCCAAAATTGAGGAAGAATGTGCTAGAATGGAGCAAGAGCATCAAAATTTCAGCAGTTGTATAATCGATTCGATTATCTTATGAATTTTATGCAACAATAATTTTTAGAAACTGATCTCGGTGGTCCACCAACACATGTATTATATTTAGTAAATATTTATTTTTTTAATATAAAAAAAGCTTAAAATGAAGTGTTAAAAATTGTATGCTATTATTATTCAATAGGTTTTTTAGCACGCTAGTGACCGAGGTGAAAAAATTCATTCATCAATTTGCAGCCTTCAAAATATATGCAGTCATCAATTTTATATATTTTAATTTTTATTTTATTAATGTGTTAAAAAATTGAATGTTATTATACGAATTATTAAACTTTGTGTTAATTAGATGCATATTTAAATGTGAATTAAGTTTATATTAATTTTAGGTTTTGAATTTAAGCTTGTTTATGAAAATAATAAATATTAACAGAAATTTTTTATTTAAAAAAAACATTTCTTAATTTCGCGGCTTTTGCGTTCAAGAATGTCACTAAATGAATAATTTAGTAGTATTTGTACCATAAAACTTGAATAAAAGTAGTGGTGCTTTAGCTTGAAAATGCATTAAATTAGCAGTGTTTTTCTGATACAAACGTCATCAAAATAACAGTGTTTTTTTGATAAAAATACCACTAAATTAATAGCGTGTCAAAGATACAAATATAACTAAAATAGTAGTATTTTTTAGATACAAATGCCGCTAATATAGCAGCATTTTTCAAATATGAATGCTATTAATATAGCGACATTTTTAAGAGTCAAACATTGCTAATATAATGGCATTTTTTAAATACAAATACCGTTAATATAGCAACGTTTTATAGAAAATGTTGTTATTTTTTGTGATGCATATATAGCTAACACTTTTATTGACGTTTTTTATAAACGTCATAAATCTTTTACTGACATTTATAAACGTCACTAAATGTTAAAAAAAAATTTCACTAAAAATCAAAACTGCTGTAGTAAATGTTAAATATGTGAACACATTAAATATACTGATGACTCATATTTCTTTTATTTTATGATAAATAATGACTCGTATTTCATGAACTGACAACCATCAACCACTCAATCTCTCCAAGATTTCGTAAGCCAAAGTTCAATGCCAAATTTTGGACTTAAAAACCAAGAAATAAAAGGGTTATTATGTACAGTTTTTTTTTTAATACCGATAATAATTTTTATATATTTTTTAAATTTATAAACGAAGTTAAGATATGTATATTTTTAAAATTAAATTTTATTATATTTTAAGGAGTATGAATTTTTAATAATTTCAATTTCACTGTCCATCAATGTAATAATTTTTTATTATATATGAGTTTTAATCTCATTGATTTAGTTTTTTAAAAGTATCACAAAATTTTGATATAAATTAATCAAAAGCTATAGGTTGGTATGAAATTCTGTGATAATTCTTACAATGTTAATATATGGTTCACAGATCATTTTGTATATAATTAAAAAAGCTAAATTTTCACAAAATTTCAATAGAATCTTATATAATTAACCAATTTTATGAAGTCAAAATTTGTTGCAGTATTATTTAAGATTCATGACCAAAAAAAAGATAAGATAAATGAAAATTAAACTCTTATGGTTGGAATTTAAAGGAATCTTTAGTGTAAACTTTGTAAAGTACTCATTTCTAAAATATACCAATTTCTTCCATTGTTTTTTTTTTTTTTTTTCAAAGACAAAAGCCATTAATAAACATGGTGGAGGTTGACACATACTGCACCTATTAAGCAAAATGACTCATCAACCTACTATTTACATTAATTGCTTTGATTTGTACTAATCAATACAGCTATGTACCAAACCTTTCTTTTTCATGACTTAAAACTTGAATTGTATATCATTTGTTTTCGACATCATGAAATTCAGGCCAATCAATGAATACTGGTTTAACTTCTGATATTTATATCATTTGTTTGACTTATATACAACAAAAGATGAAGAACTGGTCATGATAATCTTATTCTACTGTTTTCTTTTTTACCCATACGTAACAAATAGCACTTATTTCCAATGCTTCATCGCCCACATAACTTTGCTGTATTATCTTTAGAAGTATTTAACAAAACCTTTAACTTATTTTTTTTTTATATTTGAGATTATCAAAAATTAAACTTTGATAATTGTAATTAAAAATTCAATACTTTATTATATATATATATATATATATATATTTATCACGTTGGCAAAACATTTAACTTTACTATAAATAGGGTTCTCAACATTACGTGAAATTCAAGCAAGTCAATAGAAGTATTTTCGGTTTTTCTCGTATTCAAGATATATATAGTATTTAATTTAAACTTTATGAACTCATTCCCCGGAGGATATTGGATAAAATTGGTACGATACAAAATACAAAGATTAGCATAATTACTACCAGCCTTTGCGGTTAATTAGGTTCATATTTTACGCATGGGTATTAAAAATTAAGACCAATATTTTCTTTAAAGCTTCACCTAATTATGTCAACATGTTAATTGCATATATTAGTTATTTTAGATTAATGTCAAATTTGCTATTGTACTATGAGTGAATTTTAAAATTTGCCATTATTGTATTTTAATTTTGTTGAAATTTGTTATTGCACATTTTAATTTTAGACACAATGTAACAAAAATTGATGAAAATTTATCAAATTTCATTTGATTGGCAATGAAATATTTTAATTTTATTATTTTATAAAAAATTACCGAAATTGAAAGTAAAGTAACAAAATTTCCCATTTAAGCTGCTGGGTGCTAGCTTCGATTGCAAGATATCCGCATGCTGGACTTAAATGCAGCATGAGGTGGACTTGGCATATTGTGCATGAGGAGAGCACATGATTCTGTCTTGAAGATTTTCTTCGGCTGGCAACCCCTCTTTGCCCTTTAGATCTTTAATTAGGATCACATTATCCATTCCACACCACTGTGGGTCCAGAACTATAAGAACTAATAATAACTAATAATCAACATGGATAATTGCTGCTAAAATATGCAGGATCTTTAATCTAAATGTCTCCAGCCCAATATCTACATTGATAATTTGGGGTATGACAACTTTTACATACAATCAATTCAATAGTAAAAGGAGTGTTTAGTAAATGGGTTGGTAATCTTCTAACCCTTTGCTTATAAGGTTTAGATTCGAGTTTTGTTATTAACAAATATTTTTAATGAGTGATTTGTAAATTTAATATAAGTTTTCTTTTGAGACTTGTGATTTGTGAGTGGAGAAGTTTTACTCAACCTAAATATTTTTATAGAAAAAAGGATTTTTTAGGGAAATTGAGGTAAATTTATTAAAAAAACAAAATAAATGCCAAAATATTGATGTGTTTAACAGTACTAGAGGAAGAAAATTCAAAAATATTGAGAGATGCCAAGTGAAAAATTAAAACGTGCTATCATAGAATCGTACTGTTCTGCTTGATGCCAGCTTCACACCATTCACTTCACCATGTAACTGTACTAAATGAGATGTCTAAGACTAAGAGAAAGAAAAATTTGCTTCCAAAGTTGGATCTTGACTGGTTCTTCTCTATTACTGCATTATATGCCTAGGCTAGAGACAGCCTTCATTGCTAAAATTTCCAATGGCATATGGTACAAGAAGAGGGGCCAAGAAATTAATACAAACCTTTTAGAATTCCTGTGGGGTAGAAAAAATTTCACCTTTTAGATTTTTACTTTTGTTTTGATTGTCATTTGGGGTTATAGTTTTCATGAGGACCTGATGGACATTCTTATGGCTTTACAGTGTGTTTTTTCTCTTGCAATTGCATGGTCAGGATTATCATTGAAAACTAGTCCTCCATCCTGTGAAAACAGGCAGGAAAATCAAAAGGCTTCACATGTTTGCATTTAAGACCAGGCATTGGAGATTTGCAAACCAATATCTGCCTGCCTATTAAAATATACTACATTTTTTTCATCTTTGGATATGTAATTTTCAGACTTAGAAGATAAAAGAGAAAAAAAAAAGACCAGAAATAATAAGGATCCTGTGAAATTTGGGTTGTAATTCAAGTATTGCTGATCTGCCATGATCACTGTTTTGGAAAAATTTTCTACCCCTCATAGGATCTAAAACAACCCATGAAATCAACACTATCATCTTTTGCTTTCAATTTTTGCTTACAATTTCCCTAAGATAAGACAATGCAATCAAAAGTTTCCTCAAAATTAGCTGGGAATTTATTTCACAATTACTTGCTAAAAATGGTTCTAGCTGGCTAACCTAATTAATGCTGCCATTATTTCAATTAACTTTTAATCAAACAAAGAGCAATTGCAATATTGGTAGTTGACTTTATTTTGATAATGAGTCATGGGATGCACAGCCTCACAAGAAAGTAAGTCAAACTTTAATTCTTCAGCACATCCAATAAATAGAAGGGTGTGTTAGCTATTAATAAGTTGTTCATTCTTTTAATTTCCATTTTTCTTTTCTTTTTTTTTTTTTTTTGCCTCTATTTCCTTGAAAACCCAAGAAAACTACGAATGACAAGGTCTTACAGTAATTGTTCAGTCCAGCAAAACTCATCATGCACTTTGGATAATGGCAAATGAAACCTTCTTTCTTAGGCCTCAAAGCAAAAAAAGCTTGAATGAAAAATAATCTAATTCATCTCATAATTCCAAATGAAAGATTTTACAAAGCTGATAATTTTTAAGCGGATAATCAGGACATAAATATTGCTTATTCTTAACCCAAGATACCTGCCACAATAATGTGAAATTTATACTTCTATTCTACCACTAAAGGGGTGACTGATTTCTTCCTTGAACAAGACCTATAGCAAAAAAATAAGCCAAGATCAAAAGAATCCCAAAAAGCCACTAAAACAAGAACTCCCTCCATTTAGAAAAAATTAGCGTTTTCATCTATCATGATATGACTAAGATGGTGATCTTTCCCTTGATTTGAACCTTCATCAAAAAGCCATTTCTCAAGCAATGACAGTTTGCCTTGGGCATTACGATCTGGCTTACTTTCATCTTCGAAAAGGCTTGCATCAGGTGACATAGATTGTGAGAAATCAGAATTGGAGGAATCCAAAGATTCAAACATAAGCAGTGACTCAAAAGCCTCTGACATTTCCATGCTGCTTTTGTCTTCCTGCCTCGGAGTCCCTTCAATAGAAGCAGAATCATTGCCACCCTTGTTGTCAAATGATTGTTGAGTGGCAGCAGAGTTTGTAGAAGCAGGCTTTGATGGATTTCTCATCCACCCTTTTAACAACTTAGCTATGTTCTCTGTGCTTGAAGCATAGCTCCCCGGTTTTGCATAAGATATGTACCCATTAGAGGGTTTCAGCTCAACTAAACCACTTGGTTTCTCTGGGGACAATGCATCAGATAAAGCCTGTTTAGCCATATGGATATCAGTCTGCAGTCGTCTCTCCCATTGACCTCTAGAAATTTGGTGTGACGATGCTGCTGCTGCTGATGATAACCCATCTCTAGAATAACCTTCTCTGTCTTGGAGCTTCTTCAGCTTCTTCTTCAAGTGAGTGTTCCAATAGTTTTTAATGTCATTGTCTGTTCTTTGAGGGAGGTAAGATGCTATTGCAGCCCATCTGCAACAATATTAAATGTCCCATTTATTACACTGCTTTGACAACACCAAATTATTCATGACATCCAAGATTAAACTGATGAGACATAATGTAACACATTATACACAACTTGGTTACTGAAGTCAGAATTTTCCTCTTGGGGCTTAACTCTTAAGACCTTGGACAGAGAAAAATAGATTACCTGTTGCCTAAAAGAGCTTGAAGGTGGATTATCATTTTCTCTTCATGTTCTGTAAAGTTACCCCGTTTAATCCCTGGCCTTAAGTAATTGGTCCATCTAAGCCTGCAGCTCTTGCTACATCTAAACAACCCTGGAAAGAAACCAGAAACAAACAAATATTAATAATTTCATTAGCATACAATCAAATCATGATAGTCGACTTTCACAGGCCGCAAAGTTAAAAAAAAAAAATTCGATCAGACTCTTGATAGCATTTGCTTTATGATCAAATACCAAAGCAAACCAAAAAGACAAAACAAGATGCTGTTATGTTAAAAAAAATGTAGCACAAAAACAGAAACCTTTTAACTCAAACCTGTATTGGTAGGAACAGCCTTCCAATTCCCAGGACCATGTTCTTGAATATAAGACACCAAGGCGATATCTTCTTCAGGAGTCCATGAACCTTTCTTCATACCTGCTTTGTCACAACAAGGTGGTCTCCCCATATCACTTTGTTTCTTTTGAAGATCAGAAAACAAATTCTATGCTCCTCTAATTCTATTTTTTTTTTCTTTTGGTTTTAGTTTTTCTTCTTGGAAGCTTTAAGACAAGGGTTTATTTGGTCCTGCTTTGCATTTATAGAAAAAGAGAGAGAGAGAGAGAGAGAGAGAGAGGACGCTGACCTAAAAGGAGGAAAAAGGTACCCTTCCAACTTCCACTCCAAAGAGTCAAAAGATGACGGCAAGAGCATTAACTCAAGGGGAGGGAAGGGCAGGCTGTGCCAAAGTCAGATCAGCTGTGGTAAAGGCAATGTGCCCCTTCTGCCTCACAAAACCGCGTGGCATTTAATGTGAGTTGAGCTCTAAAGGAAATCTATATCCAATCTCTGCGCCATTTTTATAACTGTAAAAGACAAAAATAAAAAACACAAAAAATTAGTGATGAACAATGTAGTTCATACAGCAGATGTGAGTGTCATATTATAGTCTTGTAAAAGCAAAAACATTATTTCAGTTCTTCAGTAAATTCATTGCCGGGCATTATTAATGAAATGTTTCAGTTAAAGGATCGATGTCTATATGTCTACTATTAGTTCAAGGACACTTTGTTAAATTATTTTTATTTTAAGAAACAGTTTTCATCAAATGAATTTTTTCCATTAAATTTATGAAAAAATCATTAATTATGATTTTTTCTTTTTTTTTTTTACAAATAGCAGGGTTCATCTATATCTATTGCATTTGGATAAGTTTTCCTTTGAGTTTAATCTACGCCTTAAACCTTGATTTCTAGTTATAAATAGAATTAAGTCCTAATTAATACCTAATTATATATAGAATTAGTTATAAGCATCGATTAACTATGCTAACTACTCAATTTAAGTTTCTAGAATGCTAATTAATAAAATATATTTTCATGTGAATTCATAATTTAACTAAATTAATTAATATAGTTATTTTAAAAAAATAATATTTAATATTTAAAATTTAAATTTCAATACTTATAATCCTGTATATTCTCATATTATAACTTCTTCTCCAACTGCATGGACATTTTATATAAATAAATAAATAAATGTGCATTCTCATCAACTAGTGAGGAAAATGCATGGATCAGTGCATGCTGGAATGTAAACGTGTTTTATCAGTTTTTAGAGTCAATAAATTAATCTGAGTTATTAAAAAGCTATAGTTAGCTTATAGTCGACTGATGTGATAGATACTTGACCAATCAAGAAATTGACAATACTTGACAAATTATAATGATATTAATTCACTTGCTTATCATCCATGCATGCATGAATATCATGGCTGCTTTTGAAGTAGGAAAATTGAATTTAATTTCCACATCAACCTCTCTTTCTTTTGGTAGACACTTCGCACAATTCGATAGGATAGACCTTTGCCCTATTAACAATGTCTACATATCACCTTACATGAAGCCAATAAATCTTTTTTCCCTAGCGTAAAATGGTGGAGGTGTTATTATTATTATTACATACTTTTTGGTGTTCATAACTCATTGGTGAATACAGTTTTTTCCCTAGATATAATATATAAGTTTAGGAAGAGAAAATTTTTAATAAATGACCTTTTTTTGCCCAAGTTCCTTCTAGCATAATGGTTGATCAATTTATTATTTTATTATTATGATTTGCAATGAAATAAATACTATATTCTATAATTGTCACAGTAGTGGATCCTTTGTTAGTAGTTTAGAATGCGGCATATCCCATATTGGATAGAAAACTTTAATTGTTGAAGTATAAAATTAATTTTTGTATTAATTTTATTCATATTTTAAATAAAAGATAATGCCTTATATAATCCTTGAACTATTGTATTTTGTTAGATTTGGTACTTAAACTAAAAAAGTTTTTAAATAGGTACCTAAAAACTAAAATCATGTCTCAATTTGATCCAAGAGTTAACTCCTTTAGTCAAATTGCTAACTTGGCTATTTTAGCTAATAAAAAATCACCATCTTATAGATACCCATCTGTGTTCGGGGTCAATCGAAGTCTGCTTTACTATTACTATTTTGTTATTATCATTTTTTTATATTATCATATTGTACCATATTATATTGTATCATATTATTATTTTATTATTACATTATAGTATATTATATTAGTATATTACCTTACTATTACTATTATTATTATTATTATATTTTTCTTTCTTTCTTTCCTTTCAATCGGTAATCATAGATTTAGGAAATTGATAATTTGAATTCAATTCATTCGGTCGAAAGGTTTTTTATTCAGTACCCAAATCAAAGACTTTCAGTTTCACCAAAAATGTGGCCAAGAATCATGCTCGGATAGAATCAATCAGGTTTAAATCTTGGAATTGAATTCTATCCAATCCTTAAATTGACACTAGACCTGTCTATAAATTGAACCAACATTATAGAGAATAGGAGGAGATTTTAGGGGTTACACAATTGATTTTTGGGAAATGGTGGATTTAGGAAAAAAGGACTCAGTTTAAGGTTTTTACCAATCTTGACACTAAACAGATTCAATTTGAAAAGACTTATGAATCTTGCTCGGAGAACTTGGAGACTATACTCGGAGGTCTTATAAATCTTGGCACTTAAATACTTCTTTAAATAGAAGCTCTACAACATTTGAAATTTAAAATATTTTGCCTGGAAGACTTATGTATATTGACACTAAATAGATTCAACTCGGAAGGCTTATGAATCTTGCCTGAAAAACTCAGAAACTATGTCCAGAGGATTTACAAATCGTTCTCATCCTTGCCTGGAGGTCTTTAAATTTTCTCATTTTAAATATCTAAAAAAAATCTCATTGCTTGTTATCCAAAAAAATTTTCTTTCAAATTCTTCAATAAAATTTCTTCACTTACAATTCACTTTCATTTTTTACAATCCTTTTTTAAAAAATTTCTCTTTCATGAACATTCCGAAAGATATCATTTTTTTCCAAAAACTTGCAAAATGATAATTACGATGATTAATCAAAATTATGCAAATACAAATATGCAAATGTTTACTTTAATGATGTGAATGTGCATGTTTTTACCAAGATACAAATGCAAATACACTCTACAAAAGATGTAAATAAATTTTATGCAAATTCTTAATAAATGATGTGAATGCAAGAACAAAAGATAATGCAGGATGCCCTTCTGATTATGCAAGCATAAATATCTTAAAAAATGTTTTTTTTTTCATGATGCAACATGCAAATGCTAAAAAAAAAAAAAACATTCCTTTTGTTTACAGAATTCTTTTCAACTTCAAATCATTCTATCAAATCATCCTTTAACTTATTTCCACAAGATTTTGTTTTCTTTTTCATCCTATCTTTATTTTTATTCCTTCACCTTTACTTCACATTTTCAGACCCAATCATGCCATAATCATGTGATCAGTGCCAACTTTATTCCCATGATAAATCCAACAAACCACTATGTTCTTGCTACTTAATCAATCAAAAATATATATTAAAAAAAATGTGTCTTGTTTCATGTTTTCTTGCCCAAATATCATACGCACTTATTCACCATTTTATTGGAAAATAATCTCATTTATTCTCACCAAAATTGATTTTTTTTCCTAAAAATTTTTCAAAAGACTGGTTTTTCAATGAAACAATAATTTATTACGTAAATCAAAACTCACCTTGCATTTACAAAATTCTTGCCAAATGTAATTTTCTTTTTATACCAAAATTTTTTTCTCTATTTTTTACAAAAATGCCTACCAAATAGCTCCAAATTGACCAAAAAAATTGCCGCACATAACTAAACATCATGATTAAAGAAAACAAAAAATGTGACTTTAAAATCTCTCGATAATTTGAGTTCACTATTATGGAAGAAAAAAGGTGATCTTTTACGAATAAATTGAATAGCCTATCATATCAAGGTTTTATTCATTAGGGAATGCCTTACAACTCGGTAAGAAATAAGCAGTTTTTCATTTAGGCTCATGAATGAAATATAAATTTTTTAAAAAGCATGAATTCTTTGAAAGACAAACATGTTTAACATTCTCTTTAGCATCCAAATGTGGCATTTTAATTAATGTTAAGACCATATATGAGGGGTTAAGAAATTGAAGGATCATTTAGAATAAAAGAAGAAGGCTTAAACATTCATCTCTTTAATGAGTTTTAAACTTTCAAAGCATCCCTATTCTTGAATCTTTCAAAAGTATGGGTTACTTCAAACTAGCTTTTCTTATTTCGTTAGACATCAAGACTAGTTTAAAATTTTCAAATATGCTCCAGATTTCCCTTTTTAAAGGTTTGCATCCTAGGGCCACATCAATTTCATCATGCACTTAAGAATTCAAATTTTATCCATAAAGGGTTGATCGATCAAATAGGTAACTTGGCAATGAAAGAGAGCTAGAGATTCATAACTTTTATGATAGTTCCTTAAAAAAAGCTTTTCAATTTAAACATCCATACCTAATCTAATATGAACTTTTCTAAGGATGTAACATAAATCAAGGTTCAAGATTTTCAAAGAAAAAGATAGATAGGCCCAAAACAAGTATTTAAAGGTGATTAAACCAATGATTGTTTTAGGATGCTTTTCTTTTTATTTTCTATTGTTGCCACTTTCATCATTTCTTTTCTTTTCCCTTTCTTTTCCATCTTTTCTTTTGTTTTTCCTTCTTATTGTCTTTCTTTCTTTTATTTTTCTTTCCCTTTTTTCTTTCTTCTTTGAATTAATTTCAAAATTTTGGGGAACTTTATATGAAGCATTTGTCCTTAACATTGAGAGTTTTTTCATGAACTTCATCATACTTAAACCTTGAATAACCCCTTTTTTACCCCTAATAGGAAGGATGATCCTTGGTCAATGTTTATTTAGAATGAATTTATCAAGCTCAAAGGGTTAGTAAGGGAATAATTTTCTTATTTGTGAAAGGATAATTAAAGTGACCATTTGTCATCTTAAGTACAATCACTTAAATTGAAGAGCAATTCTTTAGGAAAAAAGGTTTAAAAAAAGGTTTTTGAATT